AGGTCCAGTGGCGAGATAACGTAAAAGAAGACGAAGAAGGTGAGAATGAAGAGGCGCAGCCGAAGGAGGTAGGAAATGCCACGACCGTCGAGAAGGGAGGGCAACGCGTAGCGCAGGAGAACGGGCATGTCGCGGAGTTGGTCGAGAAACTGCAGAAAATTGCGCCGTTGGCAAACAAACTGCGTGCAAGTTGGTGTTGTTTGAAGGTAGGCAGGGGATTTAAATATAAGAAAAAAGCCAAGTTCGATAGGATTTTGGGCGGTGCATCCCAGGGGGTTAGGCGTTAGGAGTCACGCGCAAGAAACTGCCTAAACTGAAGGTCTCAGACCCAGGTAGCAGTAACGTAAAGTCGCAGAGAGGCTACAGTAAAAAACTCCTAAAATCCCTCTTGGTTACTACACCCTAAGTGCATTTAGCAGAGAGAAGAGAGAGATGCAAGACAGGATCTTTTCAGGTGGCACGATCAAAGCATGGTAAATTGGCTCTAGATTGGATTGCCCTGTAGTAAAAACAAACTGAAAACATAACTCAGTTGTGAAAAATTTGCGGCATCGGTGGGAGTCGACCCCAAACAGCAAGGAAGGCTTTTGCGCAGCCAACGTTCTACCATTGAACTGAGAGGCTCACCGTGCGCCGTGAATTTAATCACATTTGGGTCGATTTGCTTGCCCAGCTCTACTGCATGTATGGAATCCACCAATACGGACGCAGTAAGCTGACTGTTGAAAAAGGTGATAATATAGCAGCTTATCTATCTCATGAAATATTGGCCGAAATGCTGAAACATGTCCTGGTTTGGAAAGGATTACATGGATGAGGTTGTCATATTCACTGTCGCAAAACAAAATTCCGCAATATTTCAGCCTCAACAGGATGCCGGATGCTTTGGACTGAACCCTTTTCGGCAGCCTACATAAAACAAACTCGGTAATATATTACTACTTAAATAATAAGACTGCTTGCCTATTGATTTTCGATAGCCTTTAAAATTCAATTAACCCTTATGGAAGAAAAGTGCATACAAAATACTCCTTATTTGTAGTCATTTGGTAGCAAATTACGTCATTGAATTTGTTATGCTCCAAAAGGGGTATTCTTCAACTTTACTAAAGTTTCTAACTGCTCAATCTTTTAAGGCAGTTAAATATTCATGCTCACAGCATGGTACTAGCGCGTTAATGAACGCTGGCTATGAAGTATACAATATGGTCGGCATGCATTGCGTCAAGTCATAAACCCTATGTTCCTTCTTCTCAACAGCGCTGATAAATATACGATGTGCCTTAAACGGAGAGCCTACAGTTTACAAATCCCAGGCGCAAGTGCAATGGCAGGTTGCATTCAAAATTATTCGCAAAAATAATGGGCACAAAAGTATACTACTCAGTTAGCTGTATTTTGTCAACCATGGCTTAGGCAGGCGACCGTAAGGAGGCTTGTTCAAAAACGACATCTTGGGGTGACTCAAATATTTTGCGAATATGCTGAACGACAGTCAGTATTACAAGTCCAACGAGGCTATCCTCGCCAACTAAAAGTACATTTCAGAATTTCAGTTAAAATTTCATGAGATGGCTCGCCCGATAGCTATATCAGTCCCAACTACATTATCCGCCTGAGTTCTAAACCAGAAACGCAATACTCTGATGCCGCCAAAGCAAAAACATGCACAGGTCGTAACTCATAAAACAGTCACAAATAGTCATTTTAAGGGGTCTGTTAGGGCGTTTTGTTAGGAGCGTATATTTTATCCAAAAAAGTTGAACGACGGCACATCAACTTACCGAGACCGGAGCCCCAGAAAAACGACGATTGAAAAGGGTCACTTTGGATTCCACTTCCTGCCGCTCCATGGAGTTAGCGGCCGTCTCTTCTTCTGTGAATCTTTTTATGAGGAACCGTAGCTAGGGAATAAAAAGGCATTATGTCTGTGAGAATAATTTAGAAGTAGGGGGCAGATTTAAATGATTCATTTGACCCAATCGTGAAAAACTCGGTGGTCTCGGTGGGATTCGAACCCACGCTGACAAGGGGAAGGCCAATGCTCTAGCCAACCGAGAATAATGTAGAACAGAGGGGCAAGATAGCAGTGAAGAACGCTTTGACATCAAAAGACACCTCGAAATAATGGTCACTCAACGCTAAATGCCAAGATGACCGGAAGGATACCTCATAAAACATAAATGTGACTCTTTACTATTGGCAAACAAATTTCGGCCGCAGTATGCTAAATGACTTGATGAAATTCGACGAGCCATTGGAGGTGACTGCTAGTTGCT